CCATAGCTGTCTGACACAGGAACTACTTCTGCAATGCTTACTGTAGTATCTGTGTTAACAATGACATGGGGATTGGGAGAGTTCATGTAGCTACTAAGATGTTCTTTAAAATGCATGGGAAGATGCTCAGGGTCTACAATAAAAGAAGCCGTGACGAAGATGAATGTGTACTTATATATAAATGGGCAGACAGACAGACTCCACATATACACCAATACAAGCACTGACACACACATCTGAGAGCAGTATGTTGATGTTTTTCATCTTACCATTTGTATTACTAAATTACTTCAATTACTAAATTACCTATAATGAGTATCTGAAAACAAAAATGAATACTTGAGTATCTGAAAACAAAAATGAATACTTGAATTCAACAGAAACAAATCTTAGCAATGAACTAGGTTACGACGATCACAGATCTTAAATTCTAAATGCAGATATGAAAAATTACAGGATGCTTTCTACAATGTGGTAACACTATATGTTGGGCAGCCCTAATCTCAAAATTCAAAATGCTTTAAAATTTGAAACTTTAGTGCTTAGGAGGTTCCCAGCTTTAGGAGCTGTCTCAGCTTCTGTTATTCGGATTTAAGACTTCTGGACTTACAAAGTTGAGAGAAATAGTCCTCAAAACTCAAAAATCTGAAACATTTCTGGTCCAAGTTACTCTGGATAAAAGATATTTAACCTGCAAAACATGGTTCACTCAGTTCAGAAAATATCTGTTAGATCCTGTCTGCTGGCCTAAGGACAGAGAGGCCTGTACAGGGCCTGAGACTCAACAAGCAGACCTTACACAGTGGGAAGTGGGTGATAACATCTGCAGGGGAAGGACATTCACGTAAGGAAGGGTCAGAGGCTTGGAAATGCAGAGAGGCGAGAAACAGCCTATTAAGAGAATGAATTAGGAAGCTGCTTTGTTATAGAATTAGCAGTTAAATCCATGCTATAAAGTGGGTACAGAAATATTTTTTATGAGGCAATCTGACCATAGGGTATAACAAGATCCTGGAAAACCATCTCTATCCTTTAATAATTAACCTTTGAGAAATTTACCTGAGACTATGGAAGGAGAGAAACAAAAACTACTTAATCATCAGAAGTATTATATGACAGAAAAACCAATAACTAACAGCACCTCTGGGACATAGTAAGTGCTCAGTGAATATTTGTTGAATGCATAAACATTTAATCTACGGTTAAATATTACTCCATATGACAGACTACTGCAGAACCATATTGTTGTTTTCTAGAAGACCTACAGAACCAGACACTCCAGGAGTGTACATTTTAAAAGCTCTGGCAAATGGTTTTGATGGTCACTTCACATCAGTTAAGAATCCCTGGTGAGAAAGAGGTATCTTCAACTTTAAGGAACAGGTAAAAAATGAAAAACTCAAGCATGAGGCAAAAGGGAATGTCTACAAAAATGAGCAGAATCAGAAGGGATTTTTATCCACAAAAGTCAACAGAAGAGTGTGTCAGTGTCCATCAGCAGATGATACTTCCAAAAGCTGGAGCAGCTGAAGAGGCCACCTGAGGGTGCGTAAGCTACTGTGATCCTGGGGAGGCTGAAAGGCGGCAGCTGAGGAAGGAGGGGACAAAGCAGTGAAGACAGACAGCGAAACGGAAATGTCTTTCAAAGCACTGAGCGGAAGGAAGGGAGGAGTGAGGCAGGGGTAGAGAAACAGGCTGGAGGGAAGGCTGCTTGGTGCCCGCTCTGCGTTAAGAGGTCCGTGGGAAGGGGGAGGCAGAGTTTAGGGAAAGGACACAGGATATGTAGGAGTGATGTTGTGAAGAGAGAAAAGAGCAGTAACAGTCCAGGCAGTGTTTTTAAACAGAAAAAGACCCAAAGCTACCTACACCCTGAGGACACATGAAGGACAGAAGCCAGGCGGGATGGTAAGGGAAAAGTCCTTCAGTGGAAAGGAGGAGTCAGAGAGTTCATATCCAACTGCCTCAACCTGAGTGTCTACAAAGAGAAAGAGCCTAGCGTGGGGTGGAAGGGGCTTAGAGGCTCTGAACCTAAGGCTAGTCAGTCACAGGAATGAAGCCCTGGCCAGACCTAGGGCCTATAACTAGGAAGTTCATGAATGATTACCCACTCCAGTCTGCAGTAGTGGCATTTAGTCCGACCACTGGCACCCGGGTGAGCACTAAAGAAGGAATGTCGGATGTGGACTGTGCCAGCAGGAATGACAAAGAATTCAGTGCTGTGAAGGTGCCAGGGAGTAAGGAGTTCCTGTGACTGACCATCCACAGCATGTTTACTATCTGGGAAGGCGGTGCGAAAGGACGTGCGGGCAGGTCGCCAAGCAGGGAGCTGAGGAGGTGGACCAACAGTGAGGGACCTGGAGGTCTAGAGGCCTGGAAGAGGAGCTACTGATTTTTAGAGAACATACTGAATGGCTATAGATGAAACAGAGACAGAGGTTAACTAGGCATGAAAAATGCCTTCCCTAACATAACTAATCCTAGAACAGCACAGGCCATTCACTGAAAAACACACCACACTAAAATTTCAAATCAGAAATCAAATCAGAAACACACCTGCTCTTCTATCGGCCTGCCTTTTGAAAAAGTGTTCATCTACATTTTCACAAAGCCTGTTCCTGTCACGGTACTAAAAAAAGAAAAAGAAAACCTTGAAATAATTCAAAGAGAAAAGTACATGTGGGAGCCACCGTGTTTTCAAAGTCAGGACAAGCTAAATGCAGGGTTTGTTACAAAGACTATCTTGCTATCAAAACTGGTTGAGAAAACTGCAAAGTGCACATAGACACACAAAGCAGGTTCTGCTGAGCTACCTAGTTTGTTTTCGGTCCTTTCATGACATGTCTAATAGTCTACATGGAGATTGGGATGGATCACCAGCTTCAGGTTGGCAGCCTGATCAGCAGGGCAGGAACCGGGGAACCACTGTGCGTAAACTGTTCTTCCCATAGTAGAGGAAGAAGCTCTTGATGTTGCTCTATTTTCACTGATTTTGAGCCAGGGTCTCACTATATAGACCAGCCTAGCCTAGAGCTCTTGGTCCTCCCACCTCAGACACCCAAGAGCAGAGTACAGGTACGTGCCAGCACACATGGCAAGAAATTCCTGTAGCTTTTTACCTTTAAAATATGCTTTGAACACTGGAGCCTTTTTCAGGGAAAGCATGCATTTCCTAAGAAGTAAAAAGCGGGCCAACTTCCCCAAGTCCCCTTCCTCAAATCTCATGCTGTTTCAGGCTCGCAGAAGCCCAGGGAAGGGGCTACATTAACAGACAGCTGCCAAAGCAACCCAGCCAAGGTGGATACCCTTCCTGCCACTATGCCAGGTCCTTACTGATAAATCTCTACTCAGCCCTGAACATGAGAGTCCAAGCTTGCTGCATATTTGAATCTCAATATTACTGTCCTGAGAAATATCTTGATGCCAAGGTTGCACCCTGTACCAATTAAACCAGCATATTAAAATGCTTCCCAGGTGATTCCAACATACAGCCAACCTTGAAAAGCAATGCTCTCTAAATCACAGATATTATCAGGTCAAGATTCAAAATTGTAGGAAACGCAGTAGGAAGTCTTATCGAGTAGCTCTTGTAAGCGATGTTTTATCAGGTGTCGGGCGGCAGCAACATCCATCTGCCCTATCGATGTTGATGACACTGTGAGGGGATACTCAGGAAGATATAGGAGGAAAAAGTTCAATGTGCACCTAATGGCTGATGATGTCCACTTAAATTAATACTTCTAAAATACAAAACCATAGATTCTTAGTGTTATACCAAAATACAGGCTTAATGATTATTAAAAATGTCAGCCTACATAGTCATTTTCCAGCTGAAAATTTGATGTCTGAAAAATACAAAAACTACTGAAACACAATCACCTATTAAATAAAGATGCCGAAAATTGAAATATTTTCCAATGTGTTTTTAACAATTTCCCTAATAATCACAGCATAGCGCTTCATCCACTGTGGGTTAGACACAGAGTATGACAGAATGTTTCCTCTTTTCACTGTTGAGGATTTCTGACACAGCAAATGAAGGAGGTAGTCATGGTAACTATGGTAGAAGAGAAAGGAATACAAAGTCAGACCATCTCTGCCCTAAGAAGTTAATGCCATGGTCTGCTGGACATGGGTTACTAACCGAGTGATGGATTCCAAAAAGTATATCAACAAGTGTGTGCCCCCTGCGTGTGCACACACACACACAGACACACACACAGACAGACACACACACAAGGAGGTAGAAATGAGGAAGCATGGACCAGAAACACACAAACAAAACAAAATATTCACAACAACAATAAAATAAAAAAATTTATAAAAAAAGACCCTCACAGAAAACTGCTCTGGTTTCTCTAACTATCTGTCCCATTCCTTGTCAGCAAATAATACATTTACTTTCCCTATGATAAATTGTAAAATGTCATCTTATGAAACAAAAGCAAAAGATCCAGATAAAGGTCTTCCTGTTAACTAGGACAACAGGGCAAAAATATAGAAAGGGAAGTATTGTGCATCTGCCTGGCTGGTCAACAGGTACAACCTACCTTCGAAGTGCCTCCTGCTCTCCTTGAACCCATCTCCTCCCCTGCCCCAGAGCCCTTCACCACCCACTCACTGCTAGCAGCAGCGACTGGTGTGCTAGAAGCCATGGTAACTGTCTATGAGCTAGGTAAATCATACTCTCGGGCATTTCAGGAATTTGGTTCTCAGGTGCTGGGGATGGAGAGGAGAGCAGAGGACCCAGGGACAGAAAGACAATGGGAACGCAGGCACCAAGCTCGATGATGCACAGGAGAACGTGGAAACAGCAGACACTGGCATCGCCTTCACGTTTTCTTAATCATCATGTCATAATTTGTCAAGTGATTTTGAGCTGAGTCAGTGCTTCATGCAGCACCCCTCGCATCCATCCTCTGTAGAGACACACAGTACCACTTGTCAGATGTTAAGCTACAGTTAGCAATTACCACAGCATCCCATTAATGTGATGTGTGTACCTGTTCCTCGTATTTCTACCACCAACCTATCTTCTTTCTTAGTTCTTCCCAGAATCAGAAATCCTCTGCAGGGTACAACAGCAGGCAAAAACAGCATCTGTATCATAACAGGACTGCGACATGTTCCAGGACCTCAGATCACCATAAATAAACAAAGCCACATCTCTAAGAACCAGAAAAGGAGAAGATGAAGAAGTGTGAGAAAGAAATGAAACAACTGGGGTCACTGCCCAGGGTTTACACAGGAGTATCCACAGGCATGGAAAACTGGAACCTTCTAGAACTAATGAAATGTTGGTCTGAAGTAAATTATATTGTGGTATTTCAATTGTCTTTCTGAGTAGGGAGCTGAAACTTAGGATGTCCTCAGCTTCCAGACAACGGGTTTACTCCTATGAGTCAGCCCTCCCTTCTCCACCCTTCCTCCCCCTCCAATTTTGGCACACGGCTGAGGGCACACTTCCTTCAGGAAGCACTGCTCCCATGGCATGCTAGAAGGAGACTTGAACAGGTACCACAGAGCATCTGCCCACACTCCTGTCATAGGAGCACTCATCTGATGTCCTGGGCTATAATGCCAAGGAACATGCTTTCCCTCTGTCTGACACAATGGCACATTACCAGCACGACTTGATCAAAATGGCTCTGTGTTACCAGTTACCTCTATAGGTGAGTCTGGAAACCTGATCAGAGCCAGAGGGCACTGCTACCAAGTATAGCCCAGGGTAAATGTGGCCTGAGTGCCAAACTACTGATTTGAAACTCAAGTTTTGTTTAATGATCCATTTATAATGGGGGTCCAAGTTCACATGAGCTTGGTTCGCAATGCTTTTAACAATTCACCTAGGAAGAAAGCATCTACCAATAATAACCCTGGGCTCCAGCCTCCTCACTGACAGCTGGCATCCCTTCAGCAAGAACGACCTCTATGGAGAATTTAAACTCCAGTTCTTCCATGCTCACATCACAGACACTCTCAAAGGCCTCTGTCCACATGACACTGAGCGGCTAATTACATTTTCAATAAAATCTTAGGATTTCCTTCCTTGAGCCACCACCACAAATTTAACTGAGCCAATACACTTATTATCTACGGTATGGGGATAGGTTGGTATCTGCCATGGTTTGGGTATCTTCCTCTCATCTGAAAATCATGTGTTTGAAGGAATCTCCAAGAGCAGTGGGAGATGAGGCCAAATGTGAGTGTTCGGCTCACAGGGGCAAGGGCTCTTTGTCACCATGAAGTGGCTTGGATGAGTGGGCTTGCTCTTTTCTGTTCTTCTGACAGGTGCAGACAGACAGGCTCCTGTGGGGCTATGATGCACTCGGAAGCCCTCAGAGGTGCCAGCACTCGATCCTGGCCGTCCCAGACTTCAGAACTCTCAGATTCCGACACTGCTCTTCATGAACTACCCAGACTGTAGTAGTCAGTGACAAAAGCAAAGACAAAGACGCTAGTCCTCAGGCCTGTGTCTGATCAATACTGCATGGTGGATTGGTTTTCTCTCGTGATTTTCATTTCAAAGGGCAGTCTCTATTTGGAACCTCCAACCTGTTTCATTGGTGACCCAAGCAAGTCAAAGTCCTAAGCAGAGCTATGCTGAGCCACAAGCCCAGCCCAACAGCAGCTGCAGAGCATCTGCAAACTGGAAGCCACCGGCTGAAACAATTTTAATGAAACACAGTTATCTGACCTTTCAAACTCCCAACAGTGGAAGTTATAGGACAAACAGTCCAGTTTCCCTACCAGCTAATCTGCAAAGAAACAGGAGAAAATGGGAAAATGTATATATGGATCAAAAAGATTTATCAATTTATAAAATAGATGGAACTTAATTGTCCTAACTCTAAAGAGAAGCTTAAAAATCCTTTGGAGATGAGTGGGAATTCAAACACTGACAGGATACCTATGCACATTACAAAGTTCCCTTTATGGAATAGAAGTTTATGGACGTTTATGGAGATATGCTCATCTGTGAAAATATACTGTTTATCCTTTGGAGCTGAAGGACAGAAAACATTTGACAGAAATGATATATCTGAGGTTTCCTTTAAGCCAGCACAGCAGGGCAGAAGTGGCCAGGGGCCTGCGTAGGAGCAGACTGGCTGATAGCTACCAAGGCTGGGCAACAGGTAAGGGCAGGTTTATTATCACTGTCACTTTTGTGGTCATTTGAAAACTTCCCTAAATCCAAAGTTGTAAAAAAGAATCAGAAGAAAGAGCCCGATGTAAAATTTTAAGAACATGTTAGCACAGTATTATCTGGGTGTTGCTACTATGTCAATAACACGAAGCTGGGACCGGCTTATAAACGGTGGGAGAGTCAGGTCACCTGGGCAAGTCGGGCAAGGCAGGCAAGGTCACCTCCACCCTAGCCCTCACCCCCCTCAAAACAAAACAAAATAAAACATGGAGACAACAGGAAAGGAAATACCTTCTCAACTACCACTAGGAGTCAGGTCTGTACACAAAGCTGAAAAGGAACAAAGGAAAGAATCGCTAGAGATGGACTATGGAGTGCTCTTAACGCCCTTCCGGTAGGTAAGGATGACGGCAGATCACACACTCCACTCAGGACTCTGAAGGCTGGAAAACCTTCCAAGATACAAAGCAAAAACCTTCCAAAATTACAAACTAAAAAAAAGAGCAAAAAACCAAAACCCAAGGGGTAGATCGCTGTCTCTCTCTCTCTCTCTCTCTCTCTCTCTCTCTGTTTC